AATTTTATTCAGATCTCCCGGGGCTATTGATAACAGGCGATAATAAGAGGACGTCAAGATGAGAAATCCTTCACCGAAAAATCACTCGGCCGTGAAAGGGCAAACTCTTGGGCTTAGGCGGTAGTCCCTCCTTTCGCGCTCTCCTAGCCCCCAGGATTTCGCGCGGCCTTTTTTTTCTCGCGAATTTCTTTCGCGTCGCGCACGACGGACTAAGCGAAAGAGGGACTACTCGTAGTCTATGATCTCACGTCTTTTTCTCCTTTTCTGCTCAAGGAAGTGAAAAGCAATTTGCTAATAGGAGAATTTTGCAGTCTATCAGGGTTTTTTTCCATGCACCCCTTCATTTATTTTCAAGGAAACAAAGGATAGTTTATGAATTTATTTGAGAGAACACGGGATATCTCTATTATTGACAGGAACTTTGGAAAAAATAAGGGAACAAAGTATGGAATTTATAATGAGGAACAAGGAAGAAAAAGCAAACCTTTAAAGGAATCAAGACATGATTGAACATGGGAGGGGAGAGATGATTGACCATGGGTAACCCACTGGGAGGCCCCCCTATACATGCCACTGAAAAGAACATTTGCCACCTATACATAGCCTTTCTTGATAAGGGTTGCAAATCCCGTTTTGATACCATTAGCATGTTTTATAAATCAAAATGCCACAGTTGCTTAAAAAAATTGAAGTTCTTAAAAGTTAAGGACACAAATCCAAGAAGTTTATATCCCAGTTTTGAAAGGGACACAGTCAGCTGGCGCACATGCGCATTAGGTATCATTTCGTAGCTAATTTGCATATCACAGAGACGCGATCCATACTGTTTTTAACCAAATATGATAAAAATGATATCATAGGATGAGCAAAAGCGTACTCAAAAACAGGTTTTTTAGTAAAAGATTGAAAATCAAGTGAAACACTGCAAAGATTGAAGTGGATTTCTGGATGTACTTTGATTTCAGGTTGAGGTGAACTTTTTTCAAAGTGACAAAACTAGTGTCCAGGTCAGCGTAGTCCCTGAAAGCTGACTGTGTCCCTTTAACAAATTCTATTTTACATTTTAGAGATCAGTGCCACACCACTAACTCCTGAAATAGTTATTAAAGCACTGTCTCTTTATTGTAAAAAGTATGCTTTGTGCACCACAAACTGTTAAGCAATGGGAAAACCACACTTGATGCATACATGACAAAGGAACTAACATTGATGGCTTATTAGTAACCAATCACAGGGGCAGATCTAGGGGGATAGTGTGGGGGGTGTGCACCTCTTCCCCCCCCCCCCCCCCCCCCCCCNCTATCCCCCCAGGGGTGGATCTAGGGGGAGGGTGCTAGGAGTGCAAACCCCCCTCCCCCTGAGATGACATGCAGCTTTCTAATAAACTAGTATTCTGGAAGAAAACTATGTGGTTTATTGGTGTTAATTGCTATTCCTTAGTGGTGCAACCCTCCTAAGAAAAAACCTGGATCCACTCCTGACTCAGCTGTGTTCTACTGGAAATCCATCATGATGATAGACAATGATCACAAGCACATTGCTTTTGAAACTGAAGAATAATTATCATTCTTAATTCTAAGCTTAAAAATACACAGAATGATAGGTTTTCAGTGCTGTAATCTTTTAGAGTGTCTACCAAAACAATTAGACTACTAAAACCCTAGTTTTCTGTGAGTGATAGCCAACTCTGCTACCCCTTGTTGACTATGTTGACTATGTTGACTATGTTGACTATGTTGTCTATTCACTCATAAAAAAAAAAAAAAAAAATTGGGCTCAGTTAGTCTAATTGTTAAGCAGTGGAAAAGAAACTGTTTATAAGACCAAAATCTAATCAATATTCTCTTGAAGCGTAATGTTTTGAGTTCTGACCCTCAGACACTTTTTGTTATCATTTATGTAATTGGCACTATGGGTGTGCATAATACATGTGGAGGTCTTGGTACCCCAACTACAGCCCTTATTGCGCACTCTAAAAGCCTATAAGTTTCACTCGTGCATTTGATCCTCTTCAGTAATTTTCATGCATGTTCAATGTTGCAAACACATCATTTCGTGAACTAGTACCTGCATTCTAAAGACCATAATTGTATTCTCAGTATTGCACTGGATTTAGCTTGCAACTGATGAGGCTAAAGTGGGGAGTCTCTTCAAATGCAAATGACATTAATCTCTTTCAAGGATATTCCCCTCATGAGCCTCCGTTGCAAGCTAGTTCCAGTCCAATACTGAGAATATGGATATCGTCTATTTGCAAAATCAGTCCTATTAGTTCTTTTTGTCTAATACATTATACTCCAATAAATTATTACAATTATATGGCAGAGAGAAATTTTGTTATTCAACAAAAGCAAGATTAGACTGATTCTACAAGTTAACTTGAAATACTTCCAGCTCACTGATTTCAAATGGGTTTCTGCCTGTGAAATAAGAATTCTTATTAATACTATCAGGACACACAAAGCCATGCCCTAGATCAAGATGACTTGAAACACTATCATTAGTGCTGCTCACACTCCACACTAGAAGGTCGTAGTACTGAGTCGTGCCAAGGGTTGGCCCCAAATTGCTATTACACAGTATACTTGCACCTGGTTTTGGAGCCATCTTGACTG